ACGCTGCGCGTTGACAGTGGCGCCTAAACCCCAGCTTCCACGTGTTAACAAATGACAATAAAGCCGGCTGGGGAGAGCATAGGACTGCGAAGTGTCCCCGAGAAACAGCAATTGCCAATCTCTCCATTACATAAAAGGGCACCGATTCACAGAACACAAGCCTCTTCCAAACCGCAGCATACCTAGCCCATCCCAGAGGCACTAGATGCAACAAAGAAATGACCTTTTAAACCCACCTGACCAATGCGACCGCCTCACCTATGTGAAAGAAAGGAGATGAACACTAATGTGAGTCAAGCAAATGATAGTAGACCACTACATATCAACACCACTTAATAATGATCTAACGATTAGCATTTACTTTCATTAGCACCGCATATCGGTCGTAAAATAGCGTGCTGCAACAAATAGAACCAGTTCAAAGTTATGGAGTAGGCCGCACGTGAGTGCGAGTGATTCCTTGTCAAAGTGCCACATCAGGTTCACGAATGAATACGACATTATGCGCGCGTCAAAGCCGCAGTTATGCGGTTGGTGTTGTTCTTTAATAAGTGCCTCTTTGTGGAACTGTGATGCAAATTCAAGCAGTTTTGGTGTCAGAACGACGTAAAGGACAATTCATGTTTTTCTTGAGCTACAGGAGTTTAACAGATTCTACTAACCTTAGCTCCCCTGCAACCGCAAAAAAATGCGGATACCTAAGCCTCACATTCTATTGTTCCGTTTTGGTCGTGATTGTGACTTTTTACGCTGTAGTAGCCGCGAATCGCTATGATGGACAACATTCCAATTTTTGTCGAAAGCAAATGAATAAAAAAAGCACTTTCGATTTCATTTATTTGCCCACAGCCAACACTGGGTCGTCCAGCGCAAACCTAGGTCACCAGTAGGGCAGCTTGAACACTGGTCTCGTCACCATCGTGCATAGACTGCAGCATGATAAAGCTATGGCCAATTTGATTATTCAACGGGCAAATTTATCTGGTCGAACTTATGAACATATATAACGTTGACCTATTCCACGATTTTTTTGTCTTCCGACTACCAAAAAAGGGTGCTCCACTCCTACAGCTTACCTTGGCAAATTCGGCTATTTCTCGCTTCAGAGCTGCGTTTTGCTCCACAGTTTCATTGAGAGATTTATTCATTTTCGTGAGACGATCAGTCAGCTCGGCATTGTTCTTCAAAATTCACCATTAATCAGTTTCTTAGTATAGTCCTCAAGCACTTACAACTTTCACAGTTTCCAGATTAGAAATCGCTTTCGCCGCTGCTGCTGCGTCGGCTGCAGATTTTGATAAGGCAGATTTCAATGTATCGTTCTCAACGCATACCTAAAAAAGAGTATGAGATGAAGAAAATGCACGCCGAAAGTGAAAGGAACCTGTTACGTACATTATTCAACTGAATTATCTGTTGTTTCGCAGCTGCTTCAGAAACGGAGAGTGCTTGCAGTTTCGAAGTCAACTCAGAAATTACACGACTGAAATGTTCTTACATAAACATGGTAAAAGGCACAAAAAACAAGTTTCGGATATCCTTGCATTTGTATGAATAATGCATAGATATTTCCACAGCTACGAGTCTTTCGATGTGAGCGCGATACAACAACTGTGGGAACAGAGACCTTAAATGGAAGTGCTGCATCCAGAACAAGAGGAATTTTGCCCAGTGAGCGCCGCAATTCTAACAGAACGAGCGAAAGAATTGAGAGACAGATTGTATTTCAAACAATGTACAAGTTGGTGTCTCAGCTTAGAGCAACAGCACTCAGGCCATAGGGAAGCTTTAAAAAACACAAACCTTGTGAGACCATATTTTCTACGAATATTTCGATATTTGAAATATACTTAAAAAAAACTATTCGGCCTATTAATCTGTCACGCGCGATCGAGATGAAATCACTGTAGACCGACTCCTCAAAAGACCAAACGAAATCAACAAAGCTCATTAACCGAAACACGATCCTATTGTTTAAATGGAGAGAAGGATACGTAGCACATGTAAGAAGAAAGGCAAGGTGAGCGGGTGCGGCATGACACAGGAACGTACACATCCTAGCAATACCTCCTTCCATCAACCTCTACCAGTGACTACTAGTATAAATACTAATGTCACGACGATAGTATAGCCAATGATTTTTACAAAGAGAATTCTCGATACGGCAATTGGTCTGTTCGTAAAAGGAAGTGTACTGTGATAAAGATCAGTTCGTAATTCCAAAAAAAATCAATAAACGGAAACTCAAGTTGCCGTTTCCAAATACTTGCGTTAACTATATGTGTATAAAGTGAAATTGTATAACGAAAAACAAGGCGATGACTCACACGTGATCAGCTATTTGCCTATCAGAAATGACTCGCGACTGTTGATATTGGTCAATTTTCTTCTTGTGTTCGTGGTCCTTTCTTTCGTAATCAATTATCGTGTTTTCCAAGCTGTTTATCTGAAATGTGTAAAATATTTAGCCGATAATGCCGCCCTAGACCAGAGCAATGCAATTTTTGATTAACTTTAACGAATCCCAACATCTACCACGTTACTTAGGTAGCCCCTGCTCCCTTCCCCCCCCCCCACCTGTTAGACTTTTACGTTGTTTTGTTTTCACTACCAACCATAAATCCCTAGCGATTTGAAAATGAGGGTTGACCAGAGACCAGCGAAGAAAAATTACTTCTTTTTATAATGGCCCACATCACAGAAGAACGTTCCTTTTACGAATGGATTTTGATTGGGCAGCGAAGGTTTTATGGAACGAATCACTGTTACGATTGGCCAAAGGAAATGTAACTAATAAGACTCTGCAGCACTGATTCAACTGCTACACGGCAAATATACGCCACTATACAGACCACTATGCCGAAAACTGCCTACAGACGTGGACATTTGAAGGTTGACATGTAGCCTCATATCGTCTTTCACTGAACGTTCTCACTGAATTCGTCCCTTGGCTTGGTGTTACATCTACAACACCTGCAGCTGCACTCGAAAAATCGTCTCTTATTATATGAGCTCAAAATATCTTTCGAGAAATACCATGGAATGTACCAGTTCAATTTCTTGGGAAGAAAGATTAGTACACGCACAAAAAAAGAAATATTGAAAAATGTCGATGCGAAACTGGTGCAGCTTGCATGCCATCTTGTCCTGTTTTTTTAATGCTGTAATTTTCCACTGGAGTGCTTGCATGATCTTAAACGTAAGCAATCAGCTTAGCGCAAGACTGAAGCAAATTTCCAGTCAGCCGAAGGCAAACGTATTAGCTTTGGTGTAGACACATTTGCGACCATACCGGAGAACATCTCGGATTTCCAGATATCAGATTGTATGGTAGCAAGAAGTCTACAAAGAAGGGACAAGCATGTGACGAAGTCTTACCTTGGCATTAGTATCGTGGAAGTAAGATGCAAGGTAGCTGATATATTCAGGTTCGATTTCTTCTAGCGAGGCAATACGCGTGAGTACCTTGTTTGAATCCAGATCGTTGATATTGACTATGGCAACTATGAAACAATTATTCCATCACAAATAAAACCATACCGTTCCATTAAAAACTAACAAAATCGCAATAACACAATCACAGTGAACAAATGCTTACTTTTCTTCTTAGGCTTCTTTTCTTTTTCGGACTTGGATGTGGTGGAAGAGTGTGACTCGCTCATGAGTTCTCCTTGGGCATACTAAAATGGGACATTCATATCGGTACCACTTTTACGACAGAAACGATAAATAAAATAACGAAGCTCACTTCAGGAGCGAACGTCTGACTGACTGCCACATCTTCTTCTTTCTTCGCCTTCACTTTCTTTTTTCTTTTGCCTGAAAACCAGCTCAACGGTACGAAGAAGGCAGTTCATAGTCGTATGATATGATGACAAAACCGTATGAGATTAGTCCGGAAAGTCAAAACTGTGTAAGATCTGCACTTTGATTGGTTGTATTTGCGCCTGTAGCTTCGAAAGAAAAAATGACACACCCGCTTCTACGAAGAAAACGCCTAAAACTATGGGACCCAATGTCTAGCAATCAAATATATTGCCATTAAACAGTTGCGGAGCGCAAACCTGGTCAACATGAACATCTAGTCATCCATTTACTACAGCGAGAGAAACCTTTGGTTTGCTCTTTTTCCACTTTTCATACTTTCCAATAAAACATTACAGTCTCCACACCTAGTGATTCAAACTTTACATACCTCAGTCTGAGATAACGAGGCATCAGCCATTTTAGTCATCACTCCCAAAGACAGATGGCCCACCAAATCGGTAGGAGTACAGTTAACAAAGTTTGATTCAAGAAAAGATGAACACCAAATAAGGTGAAGCTACAGAAAGGTGCATGAATGTGACGACAAGATTAGTCTTCGAAGTGCAAACACTGAGCTTAACCCTTACTAAATCATCAAATTAGACATTGTTGTTTGCATACAAATGTCCGGTTTCAAAATTTCATAGTTCTTTTACAGCGAATGGGTCCAGTTCACCCACAAAGCAAGACAATTTTAACTTTACACACACCGACCCAAATCAGACCAAAACCTGCCACATTTCCATTCACCTTAGTGTAGAACGGTGTGAGCATTAAGAATTTCCCTCGAAAATTAACCAATTAAGGCTGCCCTACGCGTGTACAGATATTGTCAGAAAGTATGCCCACCGCAGCCAAGTGCGAAACATGAGAAGTTGGACGCATATTCGAAAGCTTCAGGTTATAAAGATGAAGGATAAAGCATTTGCCGTTGATCAATCCCTTTTTGGGATGCGGCACGCATTCTACTTCCATTTGTACATTCGTAGTGGCGTTTGAATGCGATGTGGCCTATACAATGACTTGCGGGGCCAGCCGATGTACAAGTCAGTGTTTTTATCCTCCCAGACAAGTCTGGTACCAATTAACCGACCCCGGAGGGATGGAAGGCTTGGTTGGCCCGGGCGACTCACGACCCAGGATTTGAGCGTGCAATTCCCACTACGCTTCCGCCCTTGAAAGCTTCAGGTTAACTATGAAAAAATTTTGTGCATTGTGGTATGAAAAACATTACTGTGAAGTGCACAAACGACAAGCTTTTGAGCGCGCAGAAGAGAAACAGATATGGAAAATGTTAAGAAAATTTGGCACGTGCCGCGACACTGCTCATATGGTCAATCAGAGAATGTTCACAATTGAGCAGATTCTCAAACGACAGAATCCCCAACATTCATCAAGACGCCCGAAGCAAGCAGAGAAAGAATAACTTCACTTAGTGTTTACACCCTGACACGGTGATGGATTCTGCCAGAGTACCCACCACTTCTCAATTCCGATGTGGTTTTCGTGGACATGGGAATGAAAGATTAGGCCAAGTATGCGCACAACAAAACTTTAAAACAAGCTGTAGCAATTTGGAGTGGTTGGATTAGGTTTGACAAGGAGAATGTCGCTTCAGGGAGCTAATTTGATGCAAGTCCGATGAAAGCGCTAATTAGTTTGCCTCCATGCCAATAAGGAAAGGCCAGAACCATCCAGGTTATCAGTAATAAATCTTAAAATGTGGTACCCAGATGCTTGCAAAAAACTAATAATTCAACAGCATTACTAGAAGCAACTTTTCAAAAAGCATGAAATGAAATTTTGAAGGGTATTAATTGGACGGGTTCCAAGTCTATAGAGTCCCATTGAAGAGAACTATTAAATGCATCGTTTTCAAGCGACGACACGATTTGTGTTGCGGTATCTTTGAGCACTATCATGGCTCGCAGTCTTGACATAGTTGGCTGAGGATGATCCACAGTTTATTTTGCCACAACTTCCATCTCTCCCTTTACCCCCCCCCACCGCCGTCACTCAATATTCTCATGAAAATGCGGAAGAATGCGATCTATGCCTTACGAGACAAGAATCCAAGAACTATCTGTTTTCGCTCGAAAAATGCAACGCAAAGCATACCCTTAACCATTAGGAACTATGACAGTGATTCAGAAGTCTGCTCCTCAAACATCACCCAACAACAATAGGAAAGCCTTTTTGTATATAAGCTACTTAATCAAGTTTTACCTGAATCTTCCAAAATAAAATAATTTGTGAGAAACATTTCGGATCGAGATGAGGCTGTGCGTAGATTGTTCAAGTGCATGCAGGAAAAGGCTATTATGCTTAGGTGTATCATTAGGTGCTTGAGGCCCGACTGAACCGTCTTTTGATCGAGCTGATCAGTTGGTCTAGAGCTTGGCTCGGCTTTCAAGCTCTATGAAAGCTTACTGCAAGAAGGAATTGGAGCGATTTCCAAAGTTCACCTCATTGTTGCAACTTTGCCAAAACCAGAATCACGACTTGGGAGCAGTGCGCTTTTGAGCAGCAGTCTCAGACAATAGATGGGATTTTGAAAAGTATTTTTGCATAATGTTATTTGCATTATTTTTGTTTTAGGAGCAGATGTATTGAATACAAAACAAGACAATGTCATTAACCGTCTTGGGAATGAATCAAAAAGAATGAGAAGCGTGTTTTGAATTAACTCTGAATGATGACGGGACATCTTCCTTGAATCCTATTAATGTTTTAAACTTTAGTCGGAACAAACTTTTAATATGCAAACACTCAGTACGAGAATTGAATGCAAATGGTACAGTTCGGAGAAGAATTTTTACTCAATTTCTTTTGACATTCTTAGAAAAGATCGGGAGGAAAAAAACATACTGCTCTGTTCTACACACGCGTCTATAGAGTACAAAAAGTGAATGGGAAAAACGCTGACTTGGGAAGAACAAGCAAAACAAAAAAGCCCGCATTCGTTCTTGTGGTTATAATCATAAGAGGAGTGTAGACTAACCTTCTGAACTTGAAGTTTGTTCATGGCGATTCTCCTTGTTTTCTTCAGAAGCCGGCTCACTAGGTGTAATAGCTTCATCTACTGTAGGTACAACGGGCTCAGCATTCAGTTCTTCAATTTCAGATGCGGTAACGACGGAATTCTTAAAGCATGAAATGAATAAACAAATCATTCATAAACCGGCTTTCATTCGTAGTCAAAATCGAACCAAAAGATTGCAGTTGAACTTTACTAAGTGAGAGATATTATTGTTCTATAAGTAAATTTTCGGAAGTGAGAAGTAACAGCATTCTCAGCAATCATTCTTGGAAGGTCGCAACCGTAGTGAAGGTGTAGAGGGCCACTCGCTGCCGTAGCGTGGGTACCTCAATCTCAACAAGGTGGGGAAAATTCGCAGATTGAAGAAAATCCTACAAATTAAGTGAATAGGCTTGCCTCCCCTGAACTGATATATTTCTCCTGGTTCACAGACTCCTCGTTTTGCACCAAAAGGCGCTGACTGTCGCGGGTGTACTTGCCTGGACAGAAAAAACTTTCCGCCTTACGCAGCGCCAAATTTATTCGCTGCGGGAACTCTAGGTCCACCATTGATCAGAAGTGGATCTGAAGTATTCGCAACGAAAAAAGTTTCGCGTTGCGAAATGTAATAAACTATCAATTTCACTGCACTAAAACCCTAGCATGGAATGGAATTCTGAAGGGTGTTATTCGGGCCGGTACCAAAGTCTATAGGGTCCCCTTTGAGAGAACTATTAAATGCATCGTTTTCAAGCGACGACAAGATTTGTGCTGCAGTATCTTTGAGCACTATCATGGCTCGACATGGAAATGCAGTTTTCTGTCGTAGCGAACCGAAGCGGTCGACGGACTACTTGAACTCGGTCCTTTAAGCGCCTCAATTCGATGCTCTCGTCTGCGCTCTCTCACCTTATCAGCGGCTCATGACCATTGTGATCTCACACATTCAAACTTTTGCCACACTGTAGTTGGCTCACCCACCTCGGAGTCCCCTCCTACAAGGCTTAGTCCTAAGGCTCTCACCTCCCTCCTTGGGATTTGGAGCCGAGCCAGGCGCCGTTCTCTAATCGTCTGTGCTCTCCGCCATTCGTGGCAGGACCATGGAGGAAAGTTCAAGTAGTCCGTTAACCTAGCGCATCACCCCTCGACTGGCGTGTGCCGTGGCGGCAATCGGCCACTCCTCCTATACACCACCCTTGGTATTCTACGGTGACACCAGAGAAGAGCCTTAGAGGAAATAAACGAATGCATAGAAGCTAATGACGTAGCACCAAAAAAGGAATATTAGAGAGGATGCGACTGTGGCTATGGCGCCTCAGATAGGGCGCATTCATAGTCGATCGTCCGATCGTTACGATCACAAAGCATTGGATGCGTATCGATCGTCAAACGTGTACGCGGTATGGACAGTCGATACTTATCTAACGCTGTGCGATCGTTTCGCGCTACTAACAATAAGCATGCGCCCATAAAAGCCAGACTTCGCGTTTGATGTTGTGTCTTATGTTGTTGGTTCTGGCTTTTTTTTTTCTGGTTGCTTCTGGTAAATTGGTAAATTCAGCTTTCATATATTACAATTTACTTCATTTATTGCAGTGAGCGCCACTCCACATTATTACGGCAATGGAGAGGGGCGCCTTGGTGTGGGTTGCTAGGTTAGAAAGTAACCTAGGTCAACTGCTGATCAGCAGTGAACACCACAAAAGGGCCGCCCCATAGAAACCGTGCAGACCAATCAAGACACGCTCCATTGGCCGATGTCAGACTTTGCGATTGGAGCGATTGTGCACAAATTGCAGGAGCGACGGATCGCTTGAGCGAGAGATTTACACGGCCGACCAACGATAATTCGGCGTCATCAGCTCGTAAATGTCCCGTCGCTCGCAGCTCCCTGCCACCACGGCCAAGGCACTTATCACGGCCCGAGCGATCCATCGCTCCAAAGTGCGAGCGACGGGAGATTTACGAACTGGTGCGCAATATCCGTTGGTGGCCATGTAAATCCGGTCGCTCGCAGATAGATCGCTGCAAGCAATTTGGCATATCGCTCCAATCGCAAAGTCTGACATCGGCCATTCGCGATGTTTGCCATTGCGATTGCGCAGTCGCGACAATGGCAGCAAGCGCGGAGTCTGACACCTATCTCACAAGTGTACGTGGGACCCTAAACAATAGTAACTTTAACAGCGAGACGCGGTTGCGCGTCTCAATTTCACCTATTTCCAGCTAGTTTTTTTTCACATTTCAAAACAGTGTGCACGCATTATCTCACCCACACTGTGCATCAATCACCAGTAGTGAAATTATTGAAAAATTTTTGATGATTGTGAAAAAAATAAACAAAAAGGTGCCAGAGGTACATTGCACAAGGGGCTGTCGTCAACGTGTTAAGAGAAAAATAGTTGACAGGGGATTGTCGTTTTCGATACAACGGGTGCAACCGTTGGAAATAAGCGGTTGACTAATAGCTTACCTTCTCCTTTTTGGAGTGCTTTTTCACTCTGGGCTCGGGCGAGCCAGCGGCGGCATTACTTAATGAAGCAGACGCCGATGTAGGAATATTTTCCACGGATTCTATTACCGAATCGCCACCAGATGCCACGAGATCCACTTCCAAATCGGTCTCTTGCCTCGCCTAAAGAGATCCTGTATAGAGAAACTTCAATCTAACTACTTATAACTGTACTTGTGTTAATCACAAATGGGCTTGAGGATAACCCGCTTGATTCCTGCCGTATAAATATCAATATTGCTTATTTCAGCATCTATTGAATCAAAAAAAAAATTCTGAATAGTCACGACCCTTCACGAACGTTTTGCGCAAAATTTGATAAAAATCTAGTTGATTGCGTCCTTTCCCTAGATTTGTTTTTATCTGCGGGTTACTGTTCACTGTTGCATTATAATGTTCAAGGTCAAATGAGTCCTAGAAAAGACAACTGATACTCCTTCTGGAATCCCGCCGATCAAAACCACTGCTACATGATTGAATTCTTCCAAGCATTGAACAAAGTATACTCGATATCCGAAAGTTGGGGTGGGCGTGTCACCGGAAGTGACGTGCACTTGATAGAAACTATGTGGATAAGCTGCTTCCCAACATACATCGCTGGCTATCAGCAAAGCATGCTGGCAACAGCTTATCCACGCACTTCTATCAAGTGCACGTCACTTCCGGTGACACGCCTACCCACTTTCGGACATTGACTGTATGTCGAAACAAAATGAATACCGATTCGTTGAACGCGTTACAATCGACCAAGTTCGTTAACGGCTAAACCGCCAGGCAAAAAAATCTGTTGTATGATATTTTTGTAAAAAAAGAAGTACTACGCGAGTGGTTCCAACATAACGATAACAAAACTAGCCCATCAACTGACTGAAACGAAATTGCTGAAACGATTTGCAAGATTTTGTTATAGACTTGTTCAGCGCACTAGTGGCTCCAATCTTTCTGTTTTATAGGAAACGTTTCTGAGCACGCACCTCGGTCCTCTTTTCTCGCCCTTCCTTCTTTCTGGGAAGTTTGACTTTGGACTTGTGTTTTTCGCGATCTTGGTTGAGAAGTTTACGGGCATTCTCCCCAAATGCCTGAAATCATTTAAAATGAAAATACAGTAATTAAATATTAATACAATAATTTAACAACCTTTTCGAAATCTCGTTCGTCGTCGGTTCCACTGAACAAATAAAAAATGATAGCAATAACAGCGGCAACAACAGCTAGAATGCACGCTAGAGTGAATGGATCCAACATCCTTAATGTTCTGTAAGTAAATATTCGAGAAAGTTCTTCATAATAAAAAGGTCCAAAGGAGAAAGGTGCATCACCTTTGCAGGACGTACATGAACGGAGAAATCAAGCGCAAACAAAATGAACCAAGAAAATCCTTGCGGGGAACTTGAGAAATTTAAGAAAGCGCTGACCGCCAACGAAAAGAGATGAAAGCAAAATGAAAACGGCAATCGCGGTTGCAACGCCGAAATAAAGATTAAGACACGAGATTGGCAGTTCTCAGTTATGCATGTTGAGATAACAAACGAAAAATTCGGTCGGGTGCATGTGAGGCCAAGTGATACGTGCTGGTCCCCATTCGGCCGCCTTCTCCACAACTAATCAAATACTGTCCACACGGAAACGGAAAGCCTTCTCATAGCTGCGCGAACTGTGCAAATCAATCAATTCAACAGTGCAAAACTTGCGATTTTTGATGGAATGCGATGAATAGGAAACGCCCATCGCGGAACCACCCATGCGGTGTCGCGGGCGGCGTCGCCTGCGATGCCGCGTCGCGATGAGCTGGCATCGTGCAGGCTCAAACCTCAAGGGAATTGTGTTAGAGGGTGTGTAACGTCGGAAAGCTGGATATCAAAACTAGCTAACGTGTAAGAAGGAAGTGAGGAGGGTCTATTCCAGTTAAGAGGCATGCGATTTAGAGAGCTCAATGTGTTCAACTCCATGGATAGCATATTCTTCTAGTGTAAAGGTGTAGGACTAACCTTTACACTAGAATAATACGCTATCCATGGTTTAGAGAGAACCCCCAATTTCGTGAGCAATCTTCGCAAACTCCAAAGAACTTACCCCCTTCCTAGGCGGGTCCTAGTTGCTCACTAGGTAAATATTAGTTTTCTAGACGTTTCGAGAAGAAAGCTTATAGCAGTTTGTAACTTTAGAGGACTCTTTGAGCCAAACTGGCATAAGAGCAGGCTGTGCACCGCAATGTCCTCCTAACTGGTATAGACGCAGTAAGGAGTTCTGGAAATTCTGTTGCCGAATTTGAAAACCATGAGATGACTCATAATAGTATCATCATGATGGAAATGATTCCTTCTCGTCTGGCGGGAGCAGGGTTCGTACTTCATTAGCTCTATGCACGATAAGTATAGGACCATCTAATCCTACCGAATGGAGACTACTTTTAACTTTGTTACGCTTCCTTTCTGTAACACCTCCCAATATTCTGAATCATTGTAGGCTGCAGTTAAAGGCTCCAAACTCAGTTTTCATCATCCACACATCCCCGTATAGTTGCTACGAACACTTGAGCCTTTACCCTATAAGCTTGTGGATATTGCTAAAATAGACTTCTCCAGATTGAAACTTCAATGTAAAACGGGCCCAGACGATCGGCTGGTTCACTTAACACGTTGACGACATTGTGCAGCGCATGCGCATCACACCTTGAGCACCGTGTGGGACCGTGTGCAGCGCATGCGCTGCACACACAAATTATTATTTTTTTCGCGCATGCGCTACTTCTTTTCTAATTTTTTGCATCTATTCTATAGACCACACCATAATATGACTAGACACGGCGAGGTTCATCGAATGGTTGAATATGCTCCTTTTTTAGCGAAGGTTTTCCAAGTCCTACGAATTTCCCAATTGTGTTCATTCCTAGTTTTCTTTATATTCTGACAACCTTGGTCATAAAAAAGAGTAGTAGAAGTAAGTACAGACCTACACATATAGCAAGATATATGTTTTAGTGGAGCAACCGCGTCAAAAATAATTTTGAGGTTCACTACAGCAAAAGCAACTGAAACTTGCCTTTTCATTGCCAGAAAACGTCAATTCGATCGAACTTTTACAGTTGTTCCCTTCTGATAAGTTTGACACATCGAATATCATTCGAAACATTTTGTTGCATCCGAGTTTTGCGTATTTAAAGCTCAAAATTCACGGATTTGATGTGAGGCGGCGGCGCCTGCAAAATCGCCGTGGTCCCACGCGGTGCAAAAACCCAAAACGCGCGTTGTCGTCAACGTGTTAATACGGCCATAACGCGGTTTAGTGGAAGACTGACGATTACGGCGTTTGGTTCTTTGCTAGCACCGCTTTCTTGACTTCCGGTTCCGATGCTAGCAGCCCTAGTTCTTATCGCCAGCTTCCGAGTTTTTTTACGAGCTTCCGAATCTGCTAGAAGGAAAGAAGGGGTTTATCAGAGCAGTTTTAGGTATCTTAGAGTTGAGGTCAATTTCGCCACTTTTATTCTTACAATTCGACATGAGCAGACCTTCCGTAGAACTCTGACAGTAGTTACTCGCAGATAGCGTACTTTGATTTGACGAATTGTAGATCCTCCATTTATGGCATTTATGGGATGACCATGTGGAAGCGCAAACTATTCTTCACAAAAATAATAATTTCCCCCTATACAATCTTTATTTTATTGTTCAGCCTGAATGGACGACCGTTTCTGAATTCGATAATATTATTTCAGATGCACTACAGAGAGGAAAAATCCCAACATGTTGACAAAGATCGATTCACTTATAGCACGAACTGAGCATAACTTTCGATGCTATCCGCAATTTTCCAAACAAAACTTTCGAGTTATGGTTTCAGGGTGTGCCATCCTAAAGAGTTAGAGGAGTGATGGGGCATTGGCTGTTGATGAGTTCCACTGTGAGATTCCTCACCCATTCAGATTCACTGACCGAAGTACGTCGATTTATCTTCCGAGACTAATTGGTAGTACTCTGGTGCGAATTAGAAGACCACGAAGGTCAGGATCAGTAGTCTATTTCTTGGTAATGAGGCTTTTCACAAATTATTTGAAAAATCCTACTAATTAACGGAAATCTGACGGCTTGGGAATATATTAGGTCGTTCAAAAAAATCCCGACTATTTGACCCCGAAATTCGAAAGCGCGTATCTTGGTTCAGATAAAGTTTTTCGACCAAAATAAAATCTTTTACAATTTCCATGCCTTTGCCTACAGGAGGAAGGTTTACTTCTGAATGTTGAAAGTGGGAGATCTGAGGGCGAATGACTCGGCGCAGGCCGCTTTGCCATCATGGGTGGATACGCGAGAGCTGGTAGGCAAGAGAGCAATGTTTTCAACACAGATTCCTCTTTTCCCACCACTCCGGCTTCCAAGCTTAACTATTTAGCTCAACCTGTGCACGGTTAAAAGTGGGAGATGGGGCTGCGCGAATGTGCGGAGAAGAGTCGGCGACATCCATTTGTCGACTTCTTTGATTTTTCCCTCACCTGTATAGTTGGGACACCATGTTCGGTTACGCCTTATCTAGAAACGGTCTGTTCAACATACATGTGGATTTGGTCGGATCAAAAACCTCAGTTAATCTTCGTCAGTCGCCGATATCCTAATTCTTCGAAACTTTCATCATCATGAGGAAGATATTTTGAGTCACGACTGCATATCGCATTTTATTGTGTTTTCGGGATCAAATGCACAGTTGCTATCGCGACTTGCTTCCGCACCTTTACGACCGAATTTGACGGGGAACAGGAAAGTCGTGCAAAACAGCCTGTTGAGTATGGTGAATGCAAGACTTCGATGAGCAGGGTAAGTTGTTTCAGTGAGAAATGAAATATATTATGAATAAAGAAAATCGTGCTGGATGGTTGAGGCTCTTATGGTAAACAAGGTAGCAAAAAGTATCATAATTCAAAAAGTATCATATTTCTGGAATGAAAGATTTAAATTGAGCTACCAACAGCGACGATCTTCCCGAACAACTTAATAAATTCAAACTTAACGATAATCCCTCTATATATAAAGCAGAGGTTCGGGTTCGGTGTGTTTGTGTTCTGTCCGTCTGTTTGTAACCACTAGGCTCGCACGCTACGTAGATCCAAGAAAAAGGTTGGGGCATGAACTCGGATGGATGGGGATTCAAAATCTCTGTAAAAACGCTAAAACCTGCATTTTCTATAATGTAGTTCTTCTGCCAACGAAGTTTTTAGGTGGAATCTCTATTAGTGGCCTGACGTTTCGACGAGATGGGCTCCCTAATAGGTCCAGTCCAGTAGGACAGCGCCACTCCAGGTTGGTAACCATAACTAACCTGGAGTGGCGGTGTACTACTCTCGCGGTGGTGGACTAGGCCTTGAGGGGAAGACGACTCGTTGAATGTCATGCACTAATAAAATTCACCTGACAACCTTGTTTGGCAGAAAAACATAATTACAGCAGTGCCGAGGTTCTAGGAAGAGAGAAGTTGGAGCCTGCATTTCTTTAACACAAAGGGACACTTGCGTTTTTACTTAGAACATGCATAGTTTGGCTGAAAGTGGATACGGTAATGCATTTTCGGTGCGAATTGCGAATCGAATTTGAATTTTTTTAGAAGTAGGATGGTTACAAATAGATCGGTCAATACGTGCAGCAGGGCAACTTTACTGGCATAATGCGAGACGACCTTTTTCATCCATTCATTCACATTAATGTGTATGTAGATGGTCGCGATGATACGCAGTAGATGTGACACCGTCTCATTGCTTGAGACAGCGGCACGATTGTGAAACAACGGCTATCTGCCAAGTAAACCACTTTGTGTATTTTCATTTCCTTCCCCAAGGTGATAGTTGTGAGACCCTGTTCCTTAGCCAATGAGACTCGCGAATGGAGTCATCGCTGAGGTGCTGAACAGGCTCGTTTCTTCAACCTTCGGTTCGACTTTGCATATGTTAGAACCAGTCGGCGACGGGGAATGCGAAAGAAGGCGCTATCAGCTGGAATTTCCGAATGATATGACAGCGTTTTTAGGAACCCCTTCACTCAGCAGCTCAGAACTCGCTAATGATGTAGTTGGTGTAGGAATTGGTACTATACTTGCCTGAGAAAATAAAAATACACTGCGACGCATAATTATAGTTCCACCTACAAATTTCCCAAAAACTTGAATCTGGGGATGTTTTTGGAAAAGGCTCTACAGATAAATTGTGACACATATAAACGCGAATCTGAATATTAACACGGAAATCCAGTTTGAGAAAGCAA